GAAAAAGTGAAAAAGTGAACATTTGAAAAAGTGTAGTCTGCACAAATCACATTACTCAGACTGCAAAATAACTGTATATATAAAATATAAAACTAAAATTCCGAATCCGAAGCGGATCTTATATCGCACAAAGCGTCATACCACTTCAACAGAAACATTATAGATTTTAGACATACATCTTAAGTTGAAGTGGATTGTAACAAAGAATCTGGACGAAATTTTCATTGTTTTTGTGGTAACCATACAATGATCTGAAAATTGAAAAGAACTAGAATTTTCTGTGTGATAGAATCAACTTTTGCTAATATTTAGTATACAATTATTTCTAATTAAAAAAGAAAAAAAAACCATCTTAATGATCTTATAGAAACATTAAAAAAAAGTAATTCAGTTATTTTACCTGGCAGTTATTGACTTAATCTGATAGATCGCAAAATTAACATTGAATTTATATCGTGGATTATAATCCGAAACGATTGTACTAATTTTGCTGCGTAATAGTGAAGCAAATTCAGGGGTAAATTGTACACTAGTTCGGATCACTATATATGGGAAAACACCATGTACATGTACACAACATTTCTGACCTATTAAAAAAAAATTTTATAGATCAGACATTTTTGATGGAAAGGACATAACGGTAAGAAAATTATTAAAGAATAAAGGAGAAAAGAATGAGAACTCAGAAAACATTCTATATAAGCTAGTGTTTTTACTTAAGAAAACAATATTAACCAAAGCTTAAATCAGATTTTGTAATATTAAATTTGAAATCAACGAAATGGTAGCAATGAAATGATGATTAATCAATACCTGTCTCCAGAATACCAAACATTCGTATAATTGGTACTTTAACATTGGTGTGAAGACGAAGTTTGTTAAAACCATTTGGTTTTTCCAAATAATAATCGCATGTAACGTTTCGCACTGAGAGACTTGTCATCACTGACAATCGATCTATCGCTGATTACCGCACAACTCTTTCATTCTGTAACAAAATTATACAATTTAAAAGGGACAATTGGAATTAATTTATTCTGATCATAATAACGAAGTCTTGCTCATATTTACCATTTCCAAAAAAAAGAAGCCAAGTTGCAAATCCCACAAAATGAATAATTTATAAAATTTAAAGTGAAAACCATTAGTACAAATCTTCATTAAACCTTCCGTGCACTGACCGTTGTCCATCGCTGTTTCTGGACAAATGACACGAATAATCACCAAAAATTCGCAACAAATTTAAATCCCTAATAGAAATCAAAAATGAAATCCTAATTTTAGCGGTTACTATGTTTTGCCGAATGTGAAAATTAACTTATACATTTTCCAATTTTAGTTCATCTCGCATCCTGGTACTTCACTGCATTATGTTTTACTGTACTTCTTTTGGAATAAACTTTTCCTCAACCGTTTACTAACTTTACAAATTTCATGTTAATGAGTAATAAGTTGAGAAAGGATTATGAAAATAGATAATAGTTAGTTATTTCGAATTTAGATGCCAGAATATTTCTCAATGATGAATTCAAAGTCTTCCAGTTTAGCAAGTTATATAAATTACTATCTATGTAATTTATATGCACACCGTACCATTAAATGATCATTCTAACAATGCACTGAAACTTTATGCTCAATAAATCGCACAGAAATGGATTAAAAAAAAGTAAGAAAACATTCACAGCTAAATTACCAAGCAGTTTAAGCATTAGGTATCATAAGCAAATTATTTATTTTAAATTGAAAAAAAAAAAAACACAATCAGAGGTAGCACGTACCAATCAAATAAATAATGAAATAATCCTACATGACGAGACTAAATTTCGAATAAACACGTGCTTCTACAATGACACCGTGCAATATTATTACATCAATAATTTCAAAAGTGATAGAAGGAAGCTTTTTGTTTCACAAATTCTCGATGCTAGGAATTATATCCAAAGTTCTACAGTTAAAACGCATGTAATCAATATATTTTACTGCTTTAATAGAAACTCCCAATGAAAGTCCAAATAAATCCATATTTGAAAGAAATTCGAGGTCTACCTAAACTTTTAAAACATCCCCCCAAATCATTTGTCAAAGATTAAAACAAGACAAATACACGCAACTTTTGAAATATGATTTCCTCAGCTTCCCATTATCATACTTGAAAGTCTTCGAGTAATTATGCACAACTACCCCCTTATAAGTTCAACAAAGTCCTTTTGCAACAGAGACATTAAAAATGCAAGTACAGAATGATAGACTGGACTGAGCAGGAAAAAAGTGAGTAAATAAGGAAAGTTTTGAAAGGAAAAGAAAAGCTGATGGCAGTTAAAAGTTTGTTTCAACAACTGAAAATATTATATCTGCAGAAAAAAGGAAAACAAAGCTCTGTCTTATTTCAACTTCAAAGTCCACAATTCATAAGACCATTTCTATAAGCACATCCTATGAAAGAGTTAACTCTGAATAGTCCTACTCCACACTTCGCAAATAAAAGTCAATTTTTACTTACCGAATAAAATCACATATAGAAGTCACTTTTTCCCAAATTGTAGAATTTTGCAAAAAATGCTGTTTGTAATACACTTTTCTTCTAGCAAACAAGAATATCAAGAATAACTGATATGCAATAAATAAAGCTAAAGCTCATAAACTAATAGCTCATTAACGATTTGAATGACGATTTCAATATATCCTGATAATTGCAAATGCTCAGGTAAGAATAATATTCAAGAAAGGAATGTCACGAACGTTATCGGAAATACACCTCTGCATAACGGATTATTTTCCAAGTATCCTTCCTGAAAATCAGTGATTTGAATTCAATATCAAAAGTATGTATTTGCAAATTATACTTTAAGCATGAGGCGATATGCGAAAGTGATGACAGTAACTACAATTTCTTTCATTTTTTAGGAAAGTAAGAGTGGTTGGAAAAGCTGCCGCATGTTGGCTTATTAGTTTTGTGCAGAATGAAGTACCAATAACTTAATTAAAGATGAATAATTCGCACTGAATTTAAAATAACTAAACAATAAGAAAGTAGATTTCTTCCCGACTCAACACAAAGAGTTTTGGAACGCTGCTGCTCGATTTAATTTTGAGACAAGTTCTAAAAGTACGAATAAGTTTTTAATTCTTAACAAAACACACTGCCATTTCCAAAAGTACGATGTTCTATCTTTCCAAAAGTTCTATCTTTTTCTTAAAGTTAAATGCACAA